CCATTGCACTCCAGCCTGGGTAACAAGAGTCAAACTCCATCTCAACAAAAAAAAAAAATTAAAAAAGCAGGAAGGGAGGGTTGGCCTTGGATTTGCCACTGGGGCTTATTGAAGTCATGTCCCCAACGTCCCACAGAGACTGGGAGACAGGGGCCCCATCTTCAGGTGTTGGCCTGAACACACAGGAAATTCTCGTGGTAATCTTGAGTTTCTCAGGCAGGCACTTTGAAGGGGGCTGGGATCACACTAGGAATGTGGCCTTGAGCTGCTTAGAAGTCAGTGTGAGGTCAGGTGCAGTATGGCTCACGCCCGTAATCCCAGCACTTTGGAAGGCCAAGACTGCAGAATCACTTGAGGCCAGGAGTTTAAGACCAGCCTGGGCAATGTAGCAAGATGCCGTCACTACTAAAATAATTTTTTAAAGTTAGCCAGAGCCAGGTGTGGCGGCTCACACCTGTAATCCAAGCACTTTGGAGGCCAAGGTGGGCGGATCACCTGAGGTCGGGAGTTCAAGACCAGCCTGACCAACATGGTCAAATCCTGTCTTTAAAAATAAAATAAAGTTAGCCAGGCCCTGTGGTATGCCCTCTGTAGTCCCTGCTACTCAGGAGGCTGAGGCAGGAGTGCTAGAGCCCAGGAGTTCAAGGTTGCAGCAACCTGATCTTGGCAGAGGCGATCACACCACTGCACTCCAGTTTGGGTGACGGAGCAAGAACCTGTCTCTTAAAAAAAAAAAAAAAAGAAAACAAAGAAGGAACAGCTATGTTAGTGTGTGGTTGTTCAAGGCTTGATAGGCCAATGTGAAGCTGAGAAACGTGCTCAGAGGAGCCTGGCTGGAGTGTGATGGGGGAGTCTTTGTCCAGGCTGCTGCCATGGTGGGCCTCAGGACCCATGGCCTGGGTGCTTGAGGGTGGAGCTGCCACCCAGCCTCGAGGAGAGCAATGACATGGTCAGATTCCACTCACATCCCATGTGGGCTGGACATAGGCCTGGCCCAGAGCCCAGTCTAGATGCCAAGACTTTGGTCACAGTCCCCAGGGGCTGCCAGAATCATCCCTATTCCCAGGCAGGGTGGGCTCTCTACTCTATGGCTCTCAGGCTCAGTCCATTGGGGCAGATGGCCGGCCTGCACATCACCCTGCTAGGCATGTCCAGGCCCTTTCCGCCCCTCCCTAAAGGCACCTCTGTCCTTTCTGTCCCCTCCACGCAGAGCCGAGCCAGCCTGCAGTCTTGCCCCAGGCCTGCCCTCTGCTGGGAGCTGGGATTCCAAGCTCATTTTGTTCACCTGAGGGTGGCCTCCAAGCCGGTGCCAAGGCAGAATCTGATGTGGCCAGGAAGGATAAAGGATATCCCCGGAAGGATAAAGGGAATGTGCCGTGGAAGGGAGGGGAGGGGCCCCCGCGGGGCCACAGTAAAGGAGTGGAGGGAACCCACGGGTGCTGCCCCCCAGGGCCGTGGATCTGCAGGCTCAGTGCAGCCTCTTGCCTCTTACAGCCCAGCCTGTGCATCCGCCCCTCGGTGTGTCTGTGAAGACAAAGTCACCGTGGTCCCTGCAGCACCTGGCCCGCGGCACGTGTGCAGCGCGTGTGAAAGCTTTCCCTTAGCTCTTAAATATTGAGTCAAAAAAAAAAAAAAGAACCACCGAGAAACAAAAACAGAGCCTTCCCCTGAGCCTGGGGGCCTGGCCCAACTGAGGATGCCAGGCAGGGGAAGCCACAGGAAGCTGCCCTCTGCCTGGCCCTCTAGCCTTCCATTCTGACCCCCTCCCTTCCACATCAGCCCCTTTCCCCATGTAGGGTACAGTCTTTATTGCAATGACTCACCTCTGCCGTGGTCGGGTGAGAGCAGCCACAGCCAGTGTGTATGCAACTGTGCATTCTTTCTTCTTTTTTTCTTTTTTTTTGAGATGGAGTTCCACTCTTGTTGCCCACGCTGGAATGCAAGGACACAATCTCAGCTCATTGCAACCTCCCACTCCAGGGTTCAAGCAATTCTCCTCCTACCTCAGCCTCCCAAGTAGCTGGGATTACAGGCATACACCACCATGGCCAGCTAATTTTGTTTGTATTTTTAGTAGAGATGGGGGTTTCACCATGTTGATCAGGCTGGTTTTGAACTCCTGACCTGAGGTGATCCACCCGCCTCAGCCTACCAGAGTGCTGGGATTATAGGCCTGAGCCTCTGTGCCCAGCCGACTGTGCATTCTGATAAAGTTTCATCTACAGAAATAGCAGGTAGGCCCCTCAGAGGATGCTCAGGGCAGGTTCACTGTCTCACCTCTTCTCAGGTGTCAGGGGGCTACAGGCTGGTCCTCTGCCTCCTTCTTCCTCCCAGAGAGCCATGAGGCCCCACCTAGATCTGATGGAGTTTATTGTGGTGTTGGTGGATGGTGGTGGTGGTGTTATAGACACAGGGTCTCTGTTGCCCAGGCTGGAGTGCAGTGGTGAAAATCCCAGCTCACCGCAGCCTCGGGCTCCTGGGCTTAAACAATCCTCCCACCTCAGCTCCCCAGGCAGCTGCAGCTACAGGCACACCACCATGCCCGGCTTGATGAGTATTTTGTGACCATTAAACTTCTGGTAATTTCTTTCGATTCCCAGAGGCTGGATGGAGGTGAGTGGCCAGCCCCTGGATCCACAGATGAGCACAGGGCTGGGCTGAGGTGGTGGGGTCTCCCAGGCCGGCCTCCGAGTTGTCCTTTCAGTCTCTCCACAGGCCCTGCGCAAGTCTGTGGCCTGCCTGGTGCTGCCTGGTCTGTCTCTAAGCACCTGTGCTGGCTCTCCCTGGATGACTGGATCGCAACCAAATCTCCTGCTGGAGTCCTGGTCCCCCTTTATCCCCTCGGATCAGCCCAGAGGAGCAGGTCTGCTTGCACCAGTTCCAGCCTTCGCTGGGGGGTTACAGCCCTGTTGAGCAAGCCCCAGGCAGGACCCTCTGCAGCCTCCATGGGGGACCCGTGTGCAGAGCCGAGTGGCCCCGGTGTGTAAACGCTTACACCTGGCCTCCTTCCTGCCACCCGTGTCCTGTTTGTCCTCAGGCCTGTGGCTCTGTGCTTGTCTCCCCCACTGGGCCACCAGCCCCACGAGAGCAGGATGAGGCATGTTCAAGCCACAGTGGCTCTCGGTGTGCCTGGAGCTGTTAGCATTGGTTCTGTGTTCTGAAATAGCGAGGATAGTGTGCCCCAAACGCCAGGGGCCTTTCCAAGGGGCACTGCAGCCGTGTGTGGGCCCTCTGTGGACAGTGGGGAATGCGCACCTGTTTCAGGGCACAACCCGAGGTCTCCTGAGCTTGCTCTGCAGCCCAGTCCTTCTCTCCGTGGCCCCTGGTGCCTGTCTTCCTCCTCCCAGGAATCTGAGCAGGAAGATGTGGGTGGACAGAGACCTAAGTGTCAGTCACTCTTCAGACAGAGGCGGTGGCAGGACGAGCAAAGCTGACGGCCCCAGATCTTTGCAAAGGGGCCAAAGTCATTTTCTAGTTATCTTTTATGGATTTTTAAAAGTGAGCCTAGACACCAGGTCATAAAATTAGTTTGTTTCTGGCCGGGCATGGTGGCTCACGCCTGTAATCCAAGCACTTTGGAGGCCAAGGCGGGTGGATTACCTGATGTCGGGAGTTCAAGACCAACCTGACCAACATGGTGAAACCCCGTCTTTATAAAAATAAATAAATAAAATAAAATTCGTTTGTTTTTAAATTTCTTATAGAGACAGAGTCTTACTATGTTGCCCAGGGTGGTCTTGAACCCCTGGGCTCAAAGGATCCTCCCACCTCCGCCTCCCAAAGTGTTGGGATTATGGGTGTGGCCAGTCCTCCAGCCACAGTTCATATTTTTAAAGGATTTTTGAGAGTCTCATCCGACTGATGTTACTTACAGTATATTCACGGGAAGCATTCCTGTCTTTTCAAGAAAGATGAGACCAGATGCAGTGGAGTGCACCTATGGCCCCAGCTACGCAGGAGGATAGCTTGAGCCTGGGAGTTCAAGGCCTGCAGGCAATGAGCCATGTCACGCCACTGCTTGGAGCAACTGGGCAGGACCCTGTCTCTAAAGAAATAAAATAAAGGAAGATGAATGTTATCTACGGTGTGTTCAGTGTGAGAGAGGGTACTGACCAGGCGACAGAGGTGACAGACTCTCCGGCTATGCAGCGGTGCGCTGGGCAGAGAAACTTGGGCAGGCCTGGCACTGAGCCCCAGACACTTCATGCTCTTCAGACCCGGAGATGCCAAGCACAGCTGTGTCCCAGCCACGTTGCAAGGCAGTGAGGATGCCCTCACACATGCAGCACATGTGGCTTAGGAGGAGAAGGAGCAGCCTGGCTGGAAATGGCCTATGGGGAAACCTGCCAGCTGCGTTTGTGGGTGCAGCCTCTTGACTCCATTCCTGCAGCCCCTCCCACTTTGGACAGCAGCTGGAGGTGCCCAGAGAGTGAGATGGAGAAGATGGGGGGCAGTGGCTGCCACATGGAGTGGGGGTGCAGAGGCTGCAGGCCTGGAGGGCCGTGGGACCCTGGAGGACTCTCCCCTGAGCAGCCTCAGGCTGTTAGGACACGGATACGATGGGTGTAGTGGGGCTGGCTGGGAGCCAATTCAGGCCTGCTCCAGCCCACTGCCCAGGCAGCTGTGTACACTCGCTGGCCCCACCGCCATCATGGCTGCATGGTGAGAGAGAGTCATCTGCCAGCTCCCACATCAGCTGCGGGATTGTCCTCCTGGGCCTCGTTGGGGACAACTGTAAAATCCTCTGGGATGTCCTCACTTCTTTTCCTAACTTTCAGGAGCTACTCGGGCTCCCAGGCACCCTGGAAGGCTAGGCAGGAGCAGGCAACCCACAGAGTGGGTGGACGCCCCATGTGCAGGCCTTGATGAGGTTTGAGCATTGGGCTGGATGTGGCAAAGCCCTTTCATTACAGAGGATCACAGAATGGTTGGCCCTGGGGTCGATGGGAGACCTGCCCATCTCCCACCTTGGCCTAAGGGTGGCTGGGGTCTCCTTCCAGATGCCAAGCGTTGATTGCCCCCTTCACATCTCCAGAAAGATACACAGTGATGGAAGTTGGAGGTCACAGGTTGGTCTTGCAGGGAGAATTCTCCAGCACAGGCTTATAATAAGGAAGTTTTGGGGGAAGCTGGGGTGTGGTTGCTGTTTGGGGAGAGAGTGCCTGCCTTTGCCTTTCTGTGTGCCATCTGTGAATGAAGGATGTGGTCCATCCTGGCTGGCCGCTGGCCACACAGACTGCATGCATATTGCAAGGAAGAGCATAGGGTGTGCATATTCTCCTGTGATCAAGAGGGCCCCTTCTCCTGCCTTGCAGAAGGAAGATGGGTGACCCTCCAAGGGGCAGCCTGCAGATCCTGCCGCTGGGCTGAGCTGCGGCAGGCAGTGGCCAGATGGGCAGCACCAGCAGCTGTGGTTGGCAGAGAGGCTCTCCTGAGTGCCTATGTCCCCCAGGGGGCGGGAGCTGTGCTTCTTATTCTGTATCCCACTTCCTTATGGGGATGGCATGGCCCTTTTCATTTTTGGAATGGGAAGGGCCACGAACAGAATTTGCCTTTTTCTTTTTTGAGACAGCCTCACTCTGTCACCCAGGCTAGAGGGCAATGGCACAATCTCCGCTCACTGCAAGCTCTGCCTCCCTGGTTCAAGCAATTCTCCCTGCCTCAGCCTCCTAAGCAGCTGGGATTACAGGCCCCTGCCACCATGCCCGAGTAATTTTTATATTTTTTAGTAGAGACAGAGTTTCACGATGTTGGCCAGGCTGGTCTTGAACTCCTGACCTCAGGTGCTGGGATTACAGGCATGCGCCCAGCCATGTTTTTCTAATCATGGCAAAATAGATGGAACTTATAATTTACTATTTTAACAATTTCTTTTCTTTTTTTTGAGATAGAGTCTCTCTATCACCCAGGCTGGAGTACAGTGGCACAATCTTGGCTCACTGCAAGCTCTGCCCCTTCCTGCAGGGTTCAAGTGATTGTCCTGCCTCAGCCTCCCTAGTAGCTGGGACTACAGGCATGTGCCACAACACCCGGCTAATTTTGTATTTTTAATAGAGACGGGGTTTCTCTATGTTGGTCAGGCTGGTCTCGAACTTCCAGCCTCAGGTGATCTGCCCGCCTTGGCCTTCCAAAGTGCTGGGATTACAGGCACGAGCCACCACACCCAGCCTAATTTTTAAGTTTTTTGTAGAGATGGTGTCTTGCCATGTTGCCCAGACTGGTATGGAACTCCTGGGGTCAAGCAATCCTCCCATCCCAACCTCCCAAAGTGCTGGAATTACAGTTGTGAGCCACCGGGCCTGACCACATTCTTTTTTTTTTAATAGAGACAGGGTTTCATCATGTTGGTCAGGCTGGTCTCGAACTCCTGACCTCGTGATCCGCCTGCCTCAGTTTCCCAAAGTGCTGGGATTACAGGCGTGAGCCACCGCGACTGGCCCACATTCTTATTAAAGAACTACCAAACTGTTTTCCACAGCATTCACACCAGCAATGAGGAGGATTCCAATTTCATCACATCCTTGCTAACACTTATTTTCCTTAAAAAAAAAAAAAAAAAAAAAAAAAGCCAGCGGGTCACAGTGGCTCACGCCTGTAATCCCAGCACTTTGGGAGCCCAAGGGGGTGGATTGCTTGAGCTCAGGAGACCAGCCTCGGCAAAATATTGAGAACACCGTCTTCACCCCGTCTCTACAAAACAAAAGCCGGTGTAGGGTGGTGCACATCTCTCCTCCCAGCTACTTGGGGTGCTGAGGCAGGAGGATCGCTCGAGCGCAGGAGGTCGATGCTACAGTGAGCTGTGATCGTGCCACTGCACTCCAGGCTGGTCGACAGAGTGAGACCCTGTCTCTTTTTTTTTTTTTGACACGGAGTTTCGCTCTTGTTACCCAGGCTGGAGTGCAATGGCGCGATCTCGCCTCACTGCAACCTCCGCCTCCTGGGTTCAGGCAATTCTCCTGCCTCAGCCTCCTGAGTAGCTGGGATTACAGGCACGCGCCACCATGCCCAGCTAACTTTTGTATTTTTAGTAGAGATGGGGTTTCACCATATTGACCAGGATGGTCTCGATCTGTTGACCTCGTGATCCACCCGCCTCGGCCTCCCAAAGTGCTGGGATTACAGGCTTGAGCCACCGTGCCCGGCCAAGAGACCCTGTCTCAAAACAAAAAACAAAACAGCACATTTCAAACATACACAAAAGCAGAAAGGAATCCCCTTAATCCTTCTGCCTCCACCCGCTCCACCCGCCCCACCCGCCATCCCGGGGGGCATTCAAAACTGTTTCTTTTTACATCTCTATAAGGTAAGGGAGACTCTTAAGGCTCCCCAGGCCACGCAGCCAAAGTAAGGCGATCGGATCATAGGGGTCCAGAGTCGGACACTGAGCTGGCGTGCCCACTCTGGGGTCCTGGGACCCCAAACTAAAGGAGCTGTTCCTTTTCCCCATGAAGGGCTGACCGGGCAAAATCCCAGCGCTGGGAACATCTGAGCAGCTCTGAGTGGTGTGGGCGGGTTTCTGTGTGGCTTTCTTTAGAAGGAGGCCTGATTCTCGGCTTTTGGGACCGGCCCTCCGTTTGCTCAGTAGCCTGCTCTTAAACGTCCAGCGAAACTGGGCAGTGGCCGGTGACAGCGCAGGATCAGCCCTCGATTGGCCAGGTGGGCGTGGTCCTGCCCTCCTCCGTGGCTGCGTGGGCGTGGTCCCAAAGCCACTTGGATGAGGTCCCGTCTTCCTCTCGGCCTGGTGGGCGGGGCCTCCCCTCCCACAGTAGCTGGGAGATCCCACGGGGCTGGGGTGGAGCGTAGGTGGTCAGCCCGAGAGAGGCCGTTAGGGAGATGGGGTGGGCAGGGGCCAGCGCTCGGCTGGTGGCCTGGGGCAGCCAGTCCCCCTGCTCTGGCTTCAGTTCCTCACACTCACAAGGGAATCCAAGCTCTCTCCTCTGGGGGTCGCTGGAGGGCCTCGTGAGGTGGGCACTGAAGCCCCTTTCCCCAGGCACTGCTTGGGGGCCGGGGCATGTTGGCCTTTGAGTCTTTGGCCTCCAGCGCTTCCCCAGCCCCCATGGCTCTTGGCCATTGAGGCCCGGTTGGCCGCAGAGCCGCGGGCAGGTGGGACAGGCGGGCACTGGGTGCCTCCTGGCACCAGCTGGGCCCAGTCTGCAGAGTGGAGTGGGCCAGCCCCTCCTGCCTGGCAAAGGAAGGGGGCTTCGGGGCCCCTGCCTGCTGTGGCCGCCTCCCCTCTGCTGCCTCCCCACTAGGCCCTAGGGGACACTGCCTACAAGCTTATGAAGATGGACCTAGAGATTAGAGATTCCAAAGCCAAATTCTTACACAATTCAAGTATTGCGCAAGGATTTATACTTCGGGAGTCCAAGGTCTACCAAGTCATTCACTGTTTCAGCAGAATAGCCCTTTCAATTTGGGATATTTCCAACACTTACTAGTGTTTTTAAAATATAGAGAGTAAACGAAACGGCCCATTATCTGACCACATAAATACTACTAGTAGTCATAGTAGATAAATCAACTGTAACAGATAAATAATAGTAAACAGAGCAACAGGGAATGTTGGGGGAAATTCTGCCCATGAAGAAAGAAACAAGGTGGAAAGTTCTGGCCCCTTCAGGTCTGCATGGTCCCTCTTCACTACAGTTCCCTGGCATCCTCCTGCCAGAATAAGGACACTGTCCTTAGGGAAGCCATGGGTTGCCCTGCCGGCCTCGGACCCTTCCGCAGGGTGGCAGCAGCAGGTGGCATGAGTCACTCCTGCAGCTGTGGACAGGGGCACCACCATTGGACTGAGCCCCGCAGCAGGTTCCGTTCGCCTGCTTGGGGCTCTGGCCTGTGGCCTTTTCCTGTGAGCTGCACGTTGGCCACCGTGACCCATCTGTCATCTTTCTCTTACTGGTTTGTGTGTGCTTGGTAAACTAGCCCTTGGTCTCATACATTTCCAAGGTACTGATGACTCTTCAGGGGAAATAGAACTTGAGCAAAGTGGTTCCTTCCTCCTGTGTTTCACTCCCACATCTGGGGTCCCTGACTGGGGCACACTAGTAGGGACGTCCCTTGGCCTCTCTGAGGCCTTCTGCTGTCTCTCCTGAGACCAGAAAGGTGAAGCATTGCCCTCGCCCTGCTAGGGAAGGCTCAGGCCAGGCTGACCTCTGGCGAAGGGGCTCAGATATCTGGACCTTGGTCATCGCCGGGTTAGGGTTTCCGTTAATGATTATCCAAAGGTAAAACTGATCTCCACAGAAATTACATCTGCTTTGCTGCTGAGCTCAGAGGAGAGCCCCGACCCTTCCTGCAGCCAGAGGGCTGGAGCCTGCTCAGAGGTGCTCTGAAGGTGAGTTGGCCAATGGAAGCCCGGGACAGTTTGGAGCAGGTACAAATTCCAGCCCGGTGCATGTGCACAGGCCTGCTGACCACACTTCCACTCTGCCTGTGTAAATAGGCCACATGGCCTGAAACCCCCTAGAAACCTGGTGTCCACATGGCCTTTCCCTAGGGCGGAGCCTCTGCTTCCCTGTTCTCTTCTGCTGTGTCCTCTGGTGCCCTGAGGCTGGCCTCCAGGGGTATCCCCTCTGTGGCCCTGGGGCTGCCTCCTTGACTGGGTGTGTCTTCCTAACGCAGAGCATCCAGCGGAGAGTGGGATCTTCTGTGCCACTGGGAGTCCAGGGCCCATCCCAGAAAGACCTCTGAGTGATCACAGGGACCCTAGAGGGTTTCCTTATGTCCCGTCCCATTTCAGGGTCTGTGATCTGAACCCCTGGGCTTCTGCCTCAGGCCTCCTCTGCTCTGCTCTCTGCCTGCTGGGTTCCCTCACCAGTCTTCTGTCTGACTGGTTTCCAGGCTACCTGTCCAGAGGGTCACTCACCAGAGGACTTGAAATGGGTTTCAAGTGGGGTCATTCACCATAATTTCACTGTGCCCCATGAGGTACACTGTGGTGGGCAGCAGGGCTGGCCTTTCTTACCTAGGACAGATACCATTCCCAAGTGAGTGGGTCTGTCCTGGTGTGCCTGGCCTGGGGACTGCCAGCATCCTTACTTGGAAACTCAATGAAAGGGCCACATGAATCTGGGGCATCCAGAGCATGGGTGACCAGCACGGGCTCCCCGCACGGGGCTGAGGGGCTGCACCATACAGCTTCTCCTAGGGCCAGCCCTCACTACCCCCAACTCCGGGCCATGGGGCCTCCCTGCACCTGTGTTTCCTCTAAGCCGGCTGGGAGGCAACAGCCTGAGTCCGTGTTGCTTCTGTATTCTGCGTGGTTTTATTTAATTTAATTAATTTATTTATTTTGAGACGGAGTTTCCCTCTTGTTACCCAGGCTGGAGTGCAATGGCGCGATCTCGGCTCACCGCAACCTCCGCCTCCTGGGTTCAAGCAATTTTCCTGCCTCAGCCTCCTAAGTAGCTGGGACTACAGGCACGCACCATCATGCCCAGCTGATTTTTGTATTTTTAGTAGAGACAGGGTTTCACCATGTTGACCAGGATGGTCTCAATCTCTTGACCTCGTGATCCACCCACCTTGGCCTCCCAAAGTTCTGGGATTATAGGCATGAGCCACCGCGCCCGGCCTCTGTGTGGTTTTAGAGAATCCTTGGGCTGCGTGGTGGCAGGCGGCTCTGTAGTCCCAGCTACTCAAGAGGCTGAGGCAGAAGAACTGCTTGAACCCAGGAGGCGTAAGTTGCATTCCAGCCTGGTGACAGAGCAAGACTCCTTCTCAAAAGAAAAAAAAGAGAGAGAGAGAGAATCCTTGGGCTGCTTGGGGAAGCACCCAGGGCTAGGGAGTGCGACCTGGCAGGCTCCACACAGGACTGCCAGAGGCACACACCTGCTCTGTTCACGTGAGGGCACTGGAGGGGGCGGGAAGGCAAGCTCCCTGGCACTGACATGTTAGGCAACTGAGGCGTGGCTGGCTTCTCTGGACCTTGCCCCTCTGGGAACACAAGGATATGGTAGCACCCCAAGAGGAGGGGCTTGTGGGTGCAGCAGGAAGGGCACAGAGCACTGGCCCCTTCCACCCTGCAGATGCTGGAGGCCCCGCCCCTGCTGCTGGCAGCTTTGTTGCTGGGCCTGGTGCTGCTGGCCCTGCAGCTGAGGCACTGGAGCTGGGGCCTGTGCCTTATTGTCTGGAGCGAGTGCGTCCTGCAGCCTATCCGCAACCTGTTCATGGGTGATACCAAGGAACAGCGCATCCTGCACCATGTGCTGCAGCATGCAGAGCGTGGGAATGCACAGAGCGTGCTGGAGGCCATTGACACCTACTGCGAGCAGAAGGAGTGGGCCATGAACGTGGGCGACAAAAAAGGTGAGGTTCTGGCCAGCAGATGCTGAGCTCTGGGACAGGGACTCGGGGCCAGGCACCAAAGCCATTATGGGAGAGGGTTGTAATCACCCCATTTCCAGGTGGCTGGGAACCCTGGGATATGCCCAGATAGGGCTGGGGGTGGGTGGCTCCTCTGATGTCCCAGGGCTCCAGGGTCCCTGATGACTCCTCTAGACCCTGCTGCCTGCTACCCTAGGACATCAGGCCCCTACACTCACGGGGTCTGACAGTGGTTTGGTTCCCCTAGAATTCTGCTGTGGCCACCATGGTGCCTGCCTGGGAACCAGTCAGACAGGTTCTCCTGTGCTGCCGCTGCTTTCACCCCAGCGGGTGACTCAGGGAGCCAGCACCACCTTGGGGCCCCCTGGGGGTTGGGGCTCCAGAGAAGGCAGCCCTGGATTAGGACACCCTAGGGCCAGCCAGGAAGGGTGGAAAAGTCAGGGACAGTGTGGGCATAGAGGCTAAGGGACCACGGAAGCTCCAAGGGTACTCACAGTAGGGGCCAGGTCCTTGGGGCTGGGACGCCAGGGAGAAAAGACCCCTCCAGCAGGTAGGGAGGGTGGGCAGGGGAGGGCCAGAGGCCAGGCATTTGGGAGGGGCTGTTGCTCTTTGGCAGAGGTTGGGGGGCCATGATGGGGTCCAAGTTCCCCTCCCTCCGCCTGTACTCACTTCTCCCCGTCCCCTACCCTGCACAGGCAAGATCGTGGATGCGGTGATTCAGGAGTACCAGCCCTCCGTGCTACTGGAGCTGGGGGCCTACTGCGGCTACTCGGCCGTGCGCATGGCCCGCTTGCTGTCACCAAGTGCAAGGCTGCTCACCATCGAGCTCAGCCCTGCCTACGCTGCCATCACCCAGCGGATGGTGGATTTCGCAGGCGTGCAGGACAAGGTGCACATGCCTGGCCCGTTGTCAGACCTAGAAGAAGGGCCCGGGCTGTGGGCAGGGAGGGCCTGGTTCACACCATGTTCACTGAAAACCCACTGTTACCAGGCCCCTCAGTGCTTCCTGGCCTGGGGCTGAGGAAGGACCCCCCAGGTCTCACACTCTGGGGAAATGGCCAAGGTGGCACCAGGAGGGGCAGGGACAGAGAGAGGCCTTGTCTCCCCAGAACCCTAAGGAAAACTGATGAATGCCTATATGGGTGTGTAGGGACGGGCTCGTCTGTGTGGCATGGGTACTGACAGGCACTGTTCCAGGTCACCGTCGTGGTTGGGGCTTCCCAGGACATCATCCCCCAGCTGAAGAAGAAGTATGATGTGGACACGCTGGACATGGTCTTCCTCGACCACTGGAAGGACCGGTACCTGCCGGACACAATCCTCCTGGAGGTGAGCCCTAACCAGGATGACCTCTGTGCCAGCTGCTACCCAGGGCCCAATTCGGTCAGCCTCAGCCTCTCCAAAGAGTCAGGCACCCCAGCCGAGGCCTGTGCAGACACAGCTCGCTCTGAAGGCACCACCTGAGGCCTGGGAGTGTGGAGGGCTGTGGATGCCCTGTGGTGGGTGGAGCTAGGTGGAGAGCCGGGCGGGGGGCCTGGCTGCGTGGCCTGTTGAGAACTGGGGAGCCAGCTTGCCTGTGCAGGGACAAACTGGGTTGCAGAAGTGGGGTGCACACCCCAGACCAGACACAAGGGCAGAAAGGGCACAGGACTGAGGAGACAGGGTGGGGAGGGGCCACTCAGTGCTCGGCCTGCTCTCCCCCAGGTGAGCTGGTGCTGGTGCAAAAAAAGCACATCTCCTGAAGATCTTCCTCCTGAGGCCCCATCTTGTGCACTCCCCCAACCCAGCCCCACGGGCGCGGACCCTGAGTGCCCCCGAGTGAGGCTAGGCAGCAGGTGGGGCTGTCCATCCTCCCTGGGGGGCGTGGGCACTGGTGGCTCTTCACAAACTGATACTTAAGGAGCCTCACATCAAAGACACACTGCCCCATGCCTCTCTGATGGTCAGCGACACTGCATGGCTCTGTGATCCTCCAGTGGGCTTGGGACACCCACCCCCATGGCCTCCCCGTCTGGTGCTCGCTCCCTGCAGCTCTCCCAGAAACAACACTGCTGTTGGCAGCAGGACCAGGAGCACGAGGGGCCCAGCCCCCATGCCTGGCTGGGTAGAGCTGCTGTGCCTTGGACACGGATTGGAAGGAAACAGCACTAGCGGAAGCCTGAGTGTGAAGGGGCACAGAATGATCAGGAACAACGGGAGTCAGGGCACACGGGACCTTCAGCAGGTGAGGGTGAGGTTAGACCTGTCTTCTGGAGCTGGGCTTGGGGGCTCATGCCTATAATCCCTGCACTTTGGGAGGCTATGGCAGGAGGATTGCTTGAGGCCAAGAGTTTGAGACCAGCCTGGGCAACATGGCAACAAAAATATTCTACCAAAAATATTTTTAAAAATTAGCTGGGTGTGGTGGTGTGCACCCATAGTTTGAGCTACACAGGAGGCTGAGGATGAAAGATTGCTTGAGTCTAGGAGTTGGAAGTTACAGTGACAGCCACAAGTTATGGTGACCATCATTGGGTGACAGCGAGATTCCAGCTCTTAAAACAACAGGCCAGGTGCAGTGGCTCATGCCTGTAATCCCAGCACTTTGGGAGGCTGAGGTGGGTGGATCATGAGGTCAGGAGTTCAAGACCAGCCTGGTCAACATAGTGAAACCCTGTCTCTACTAAAGATACATTAAGTTAGCCAGGCATGGTGGCACATACCTATAATCCCAGCTACTCAGGAGGCTGGGGCAGGAGAATCGCTTGAACCCAGGAGGTGGAGGTTGCAGTGAGCTGAGATGGCATCATTGCATTCCAGCCTGGCCAACAGGGTGAGACTCCATCTCAAAAACAAAACAACCCAAAAACCTTCTTTTCTGGAAAAATCCGTCAGCCTTGTGGAGTGTGGAAAGGGCTGTGGGGAGGGCATTTCAGATGCTCTGGAACTCACGAGGAGGCGCTGGGCCCTCGCCATGGAGAGGGAAGACCTGTATTGGCCAAGGGGGCAGGCAGTGGAAGGGTGGGAGGGAGACCTGCAGGCCAGGCCAGGGCAGCTGTGGCAACTGGGTATTGACGGCAGAGAACCGGAGCTCAGCCAGATGGGCCTCACTTCGGCAGAAAAGACCCGCAGCTGGGCCTGAGTCACTGGGGCTGGATTTCAGCAGCTGTGGTGTGCATGATAATCACAGGAACCTGCCTTCATAGAAGAGTAGCGAATACTACAGTCTAATAACTGGGAAACTAATAGTTTTCTCAGTGCTGCTTGTGCAGAGCTGGTAATTATCTCAAAGGAAGCCAAGTCATGAACTGGGAATGGCTGTCCTTGTTAAACACACATCTGCACACTCACGGGGCCCTGTGCCCTCTTGCAGAGGGCTGGGTGACCGGCTGGCTCTGTGTCTGCCCAGCCACCCCTTCCTCAGTGGGCTCTGTGAGCATCGGAGGCATGGGGGGTGAGGGGCTCAGGAGCAGGTGGCAATTCAAAATCGATGGCTGCTTTGAGGTGGCCTCTCCACAGGGCTGCCATAGTCACCAAGTCCAGCCCACACCCAAAGGAACAGGAATGAGCTCCCCTTTTACAAAACAAAAACAAAAACAAACCAGGGTCTTGCTCTGTGCCCAGGCTGGAGCGCAATGATGCCATCATAGCTCACTGCAGCCTCAAACTCCTGAGCTCAAGCCTCCTGAGTAGCTGGGACTACAGGCACGCACCACTACGCAAGGCTAATTTAAACATTTTTTGTAGAAATGGGGTCTCCCTATATTGCCCAGACTGGTCTCAAACTCCTGGCCTCAAGCAATCCTCTTACCTCAGCCTCCCAAAGTGCTGGGAATACAAATGTGCCCAGATTGAAGCTCCAACTTTTTTTTTTTTTTTTTTAAGATGGGGTTTCACCATGATGGGCAGGCTGGTCTTGAACTCTGGATCCACCCGCCTTGGCCTCTCAAAGTGCTAGGATTACAGGCATGAGCCACCGTGCCCAGCCAACTTTTTTTTTTTTTTTTTCAAGACAAAGAGTCTCACTCTGTCACCCAGGCTGGAGTGCTGTGGCACAATCTTGGCTCCTAGCAACCTCTGTGATGCTCCAACTCTTTTTTTGAGACGGAGTTTTGCTCTTGTTGCCCAGGCTGGAGTGTAATGGCACGATCTCGGCTTGCTGCAATCTCCGCCTCCCTGGTTCAAGTGGATTCTCCTGCCTCAGCCTTCCATGTAGCTGGGATCACAAGTGAGCGCCACCATGCCCAGCTAATTTTGTATTTTTAGTAGAGACGGGGTTTCACCATGTTGCCCAGACTGGTCTTGAACTCCTGACCTCAGGTGATCCACCTGCCTCAGCCTCCCAAAAGTGCTGGGACTATGGACATATGCCCAGCCGAGGCTGAGGAGGGTGGGCACAGTTGAAAACCACCTCAGCATAGTGTCCCCTGCTCTTCTGACACTGTCACTTCTCCACGGCATTAGATTCTCAGTCTTGCTCCGACACAGATGCGTTTAGCCAGTTCTCCAGGTAGTCTGAGTAGCTAGCGGATGTGAGGTTTGCAGTATCCGGGGGCAGGCAGGATGGGTGCTGCCTTTTCTCCTCTTGACCAGTTTCCTACAGGATTGGGCCCCTGGCAGCCTCCGAAGACCCACGCTCCATGCTGCCCTCCCCTCCTTTTCTGTTTAACCCGTGCAGCTGGAGTGTCTGGTGTCTTTCAGCCCACTGCCGTCATCTGTCTTCCTGATGACCAGATTGGGCTCCTGAGTCCCCTGGCACGACCTTAAGAGTCTGGGAGCCCAGGACCCTCACACATCTTGTGCATTCCCTGGCTCAGACTGGAAGGTAGCCACCCTGCTTAGAGCCTGGGCCACTGTCATCCTCCTGGGTGGTGCTTGGTTCTAGGTGATTTTTTTCTCTAAATGAAAACACATCGTGATATCATGGTTGTACATTCTATTCAACTCTGGACCTTGGGGCTCTTCCCTGACCTCACTGGCCTTGGAGCCGTGTGGTGTCCATGCTGTCGCCTGAGGTCCTCTCTGCTGTCTCCACAGCACGCAGGCTGGAAATGACCGCCACCCGCCACCAGCATGGCTGCAAGCCCTATGGGACTCTCTAGGCTCTAGGCGCATCCCAGAGGGATGTGGGGTCAGATGCCAGCTTCAAGGCACCTGCCTGCGAACTGACTTCGTTATACTTTATTTTTATAAGATGGAGTCTCACTCTGTCACCCAGGCTGGAGTGCAGTGGTGCTATCTCAGCTCACTGCAACCTCTGCCTCCCCCATTCAAGCAATTCTCCTGCCTCAGTCTCCCGAGTAGCTGGGACTACAGGTGCGAGCCACCACACCCAGCTAGTTTTTTGAAATTTTAGTAGAGACAAGGTTTCACCGTGTTGGCCAGGATGGTCTCACTCTCCTGACCTGTGATCCGCCTGTCTGAGCCATCACACCCGGCTGATTTTATACTTTACATGTTTGAGATTGCTTGTTAACTTTTGTTTGATGACTAAGTGAAATCTCCAAGACAAGGTAACTGGGGTGTCCTGTGCCCTGGTCAGTCCCTGCTCCCCACAGACACTTCCTCTCAAGGCTTCCCTATTGTTTATGTGGTAGAAGCAAACCCTCCTTGCAGCCTTGATGGGCAAGCCTCCTCTGAGGTTTCCCCCAATGGCGGACCCCAGGGGCCATGCCCTGTGGCTGCATGTCCAGTAACAACTCCTTCCTTCTGTACAGAACCCAGGCAGAGGAACCCTGCATCCTCCCAGGTACCAGGCACCAGTGGAGATGGGGGGGTTCTGCAAATGCAGGAGCTTGGGGATGTCTGTAACTGACCCCAAAGGGCAGGCTTATTGGTTAGAGGTTCACCCCACCCCAGCCCTGCCGGATAACCCTGGTCAGGCCAATGTTGTCTCCAGGACCATACCAGCAACCCCTCTCCCGGGGTGTCTCTCCCTCATAGGTGCCTGAATTTCTGGCACTGGGTGTTGAGGGCCCCACTGTTTTCACTCTCATCCAGCTAGCATTTATTGAGCACCTACTGTGTGCCACATGCTGTTCTAGGGATGGATGCTCCTGAGATGAATGTAGGAGTGGATGAGAGAAAGGTCTCTGTCCTCATGGGGCCCATGTTCTACAGGTGGCACTAGAGTCTTGTACAGTCCTTTCCTGCAGGGGTCATGGCACAGGCCATGCGTGGTGCCTTCGGGACAGGTTCTCTGTGCACCTCTGACCCTCACCTCCCCCACCCTCTGGTCTGTCCCCTGCAGGAATGTGGCCTGCTGCGGAAGGGGACAGTGCTGCTGGCTGACAATGTGATCTGCCCAGGGGCGCCAGAGTTCCTGGCACACGTGCGTGGGAGCAGCTGCTTTGAATGCACAAACTACCCATCGTTCCTGGAATATAGGAATGTGGTAGATGCCCTGGAGAAGGCCATCTACAAGGGCCCAGGCAGCAAAGCACAGCCCTGACTGCCCCCCACCCCCAACTCGGGCTCCCTCACCCAACCTGGTTCTGAAGTTGCCACAGATTCGCTCCTGCTGACCTGCTGCGGCTCTGGGCTGTGTCCTAAATGCACACCTCAGCCGAGGCCTGCGCCCTGCCATTCTGACCTCTCTGGACTGCAACAATGAACTGTTCTTTTATTGAGACAGAGTCTTGCTCTGTTGCCAGGCTGTAGTGTAGTGGCACGATCTTGGCTCACTGCAACCTCTGCCTCCTGGGTTCAAGCAATTCTCCTGCCTCAGCCTCCCGAGTAGCTGGGACTACAGTCGTGCACCACCATGCCCAGCTAATTTTTGTATTTTTAGTAGAGACAGGGTTTCACCATGTTGGCCAGGATGGTCTCAATCTCCTGACCTCGTGATCCACCCACCTCAGCCTCACAACGTGCTGAGGCATGAGCCACCGCGCCCGGCTGTTCTCCTTTTTCTAAGACTCTGTCATGGTCTCTTCACTACCACCTGCTAGCTGTATTATCTTATATACTAATGTCATCCTTTAAAAATACAAAATAGAAATTAAACATCTAAGTATTTACATATAAGTCAACTTAGTACCATCCTTCTCAACTGCCGTTCCCCTGCTGCCCTTGACTTGAACACCAAACATTCAAAGCTCCCCATGATGAATGCTAGGGCTAAGGGTGGGGCCCCTGGCTGGCTGGGTTCTGGGTGGCATGTCTGGCCCACGGGCCTCCCAGCCATGGCAGTACAGATGCCACGCCTTCTGCAGCCAAGCCAGGAGCACCTGTTAGCCCCACAGGGATGACTGGTGGCCTGGGAAACAAAGAGAGGAGTCAGCCAGCATTCACACCTGTCTGACCAAGCAGGTGCTGGGGACAGGTGGACCCTGCAGCAGCGCCAGCCCCTCTGGGCCCCACGTGACACTGAGTGGAAGCATGTCCTTCCCTACTCCCACTGGGCCTTGCTTATGGAAGAGGCAATGGTGCAGACCAGCCCCCTGCATCCCTGCAGTTGCCTTCCCGGCCCATGAACGAGGATGCAGTGCTAGACTGTGTTCCCCTATACCCAGAGCTGCCCCCAGCTCCTCCAAGGGGTAAGACTGCTGGCCACCTCAGAGGTTACAAGAGCCCAGTTCCCAGACTCAGGATGACTCATCCCTGTGCCAGCTGAGTCCACCTGTGCCCAGACCAGCCCTTACCAAGACCACTCCTGGGCTCAAGGCCTGACTAGCCCCCAGCCAGCGCATTCCTATGGATAGAGAGACCAGCGAGCCCACGTGGACAAGCTTGCGGGCACCCAGGGGCCAGGAACAGAGCCTCTGCAGGACACAGCAGAGGGACACCTGGGACCACCTCCTTCCAGGGCCCTGCCCCAGATGCGAGGAGGCTCCTGACACAAGGGAGGAGCCAGCCACTTGTACCAGACCCGAGTGGCAGAAAGCAAGAAGTTCCTTTGCTGCTTTAATTTTTAAATTTTCTTACAAAAATTTAGATGTTTACCAATAGTCTTATTTTGGCTTCATTTTTAATGCTTTTTCTCAGTGTTTTTCTTCTGTTTCTGAGTCACGGACTGAGCAGGCACTGAAAGCAGTCCCCCTGCCACTGCTGAAGGTCAGTCCTGGAGATGCCGCCTGGGCTCCAGGCAGACGCAGCGGCCCCAGCCCCAGCTGGCATCAGCTGGTGAAGGGCTCCACAGCACAGGGGCCCCGCATGCCATCCGGACTCTGGGGAGGTGGGGCACCTGCAGCCTGATCCCCATCTTGCTGCTTCCAAAGCTTCCTTGCCCTGGACTGAGCCTCATGAGGTACCCCCCACACCGTGGTCTGCCTGCCTGCAGGGTGCCCAGGAAGCCGCTCCACCTTATGGAGTCCAAGTTCTTTCCCTGCCCCCTCCCTGCCTAGCCACCTGCCTGTGGTGCCAGACCTGGCCCACTCCTCTGGGGCACTGTGTTCCCAGGGGCACCCTCCTGTTCCACCAGCCCCAAAGCCCAGCCAAGTACCCTTCCCTGCCATCTCCCTGGGCCCTGCCCCAGCAGCCCAGTCAGCCTCCTCGGGCCTTCTGTCATTCGCTCACACACAGCACCATGTCAGTAAACAGCTAACTCAGGCCTAGGGAGTTAGGTGGGGCGGGGGTGGGGGGAAGGCAGGAGGGTGTCCCCAAAGTCAGTCTTGGCTGCGGTGAGGCGCTGCGAAGCCCTGCCACCAGGGGGCTCCATGCTCCACGGTAGCATCTGCTTCTTCCAGGATCCAAGCCCTAAGAACAAGAGGCTGGGCCAGGGCCCTGTAGAAGGAGAGGGGATGGTAGAGGCTGCAGCCACTGAGCGGCTCCTCAGGACCACGTGCAACCTCAGGGCAGGGCAGCCAACTCCACACGCTACATGGATGGAGATGCAGACAGAAGCAGCTGCCCTGGGTGGTGTGGGCTGACCCCAAGGACTTCCTGGTCCTTGAAGAGCGTTGGAGGGTATGGTGCCTATCCCTACTCTGGTCCCATCTCCTCAGGCCCCTGATCCCACAGTACCTGGGACAGGGCTCTGGGCCCAGAGAGCACCCTCCCGCTCCGACCTCCACCTGGTCTTCCCCGGGAATGGGCCACTGGGCTGCTGCACTGGAGGCCAATGTCCTTCGGGAAATGTGCGGGAAGAGCAGAGCGTGCAGACAGCAGAGACTAACAAGAAGCCCCCGCCCAGAGAGCGGGAACGGTCAGATGAAAAACCAGATGAGAGAACGTACCAGGCATGCAAGCTAGACCCAGGAGTCAACGGGCTGAGGCTTAGCATCCCCCACGGCGTCCACCAGCCTGACCGTGGGCCTGCTGGGCCCTGGGGGAGGGGCCTTCCTGCTGGGGTCGAGCTGCAGCGCACAGGTGGGCATTAGAGGCACAACAGAGCAGGTTAGTCAGAGCTCCTGGGGGGCAGGGCAGGGGCAGGGCCGAGGCTGGCGATGTAAAGGTGGGCCTGCCAGAGCAGCACAGGGAGCACTGAGGGTGCAGGGAGCTGGACAGGTGTGCTTCACACAGGCGGGGGTGGGGTGACGTGCACACACAGAGGCCTGCGCAGGAAGCCGGGAGACTGGCACACAGGCAGCAGGTACTGCCCTCACCCATGGGCCCTTGCACAGGCATGCACAGAAGGGTGCACACACACTAGCTCACAGGCTCCGCACCATGCAGGGTGTGGTCGGGCAGTGCCATCCTCAGCAGGTGGCAGCGCCCACACTGACTGGCGTGAACGGGTGAAGGGGCTGCTTCCTGGGCTTGGCCCCGCAACCCAGCTATACCCCAGGGCCCAGACCAGACCCAGCCCAGCGGGCACCTGCCCAGTCACATGGCTACTTACTTTCAATGGCTCCTTCTCAGAGGCCTCTCCTGCAGAACAAGTGCCCCTCGGTCTCCGCTCCCTCCGGTCCACCGTGGAGTATCCATCTGCAGATGGGGTAAGATGGGGTGTGAGGGGCGCTCTAAGAGGGGCCTTGTACGAGCAGATCTTCCTTTCAGCCCAGACACAGGGGACTCGTGGGACAAGGACTTGGGGAGAAGGTCCCCACCCACCCTGTTGTGGAGATCCAGGCTGGTGCCAGCTCTCACCAATACCCTGCCTCATGGTGGTACAATCCTTGCCTGCCCCCCGTGGCAGCTCCAGCTCTCCAGACTCCCCTCCACTTGTGGGTCAGAGCCCCCGGCTGGGCACTACCCCATCTCTAGCTGCCCTGCATCTCACTCTCTGAGCACCCCTAAACCAAATATCTCTCCTCCACCCAGCACCAACTATACCCCATAAAACCAGCAGGCTCACCTCAGGCCCTGTCCCCCCGCACCCCCCAGCACAGAAGGCAAAGCACACTGCGTCTGCACTCACCTGGGCCCAGTGCGTCCATGGGGATCACATCCCGGCTGCCAGTTTTCTCGCCCTCTGCAAGGCAGGGGAGCAAGAGGCAGGCTGCATGCAGTGGCCAGGGGGGAGTGGGGCAGAGAAGCCCACACAGGGCTGGCCCAGGTAGCCCTAGATGCTGTCACTAAGGTGCCCAACCTCTGCCAGCTGGCAACCCCTCCCTCCCCTGCCAAGCTTGACACCAGCACAAATGCTGTAGGAAGGGAGTGGCCAAGAGGTAGAGGGCAGGGAAAGTGGCCTGACTATGGAGCCGTCTCAGTGGGAGGCCTCGTTCCCCCTTCACCCTCACCCAAGGCTCAGGCAGTTGGGGCAGCTGGGGAGCTACGGTTGGTCCCCACCTGCCAGGCCCCTAACCTCCACCACTCACCGAGGCTCTTATCCACCAGTGGCAGCGTGCTGTCATCAAATCCCCCAGGACTCGGTGCTCCCTTAGGCCCCTTGGTAGTAGTAGCAGCTAACTGAGACGTAAAACAAAGACACAGGGTGGGTGAAGCCCGGGGAGTGGGAATTCGGGGAAGTGAGCAGGAAGGCTGGGAAAGGCGGTACCTGGAAGCGTGCCTTGGTCCAGCCATCTTTCTGCAGGGTACCACGTAGCTCCTTGTAGCTCCACACTGTCTGCAGCACGTGTGACGCTGCCTTCGCCTCCCGTACTGATTGGCTGTGGGGTTGGGGTCAGGATCGGGGTCAGTGGTGACCCCTCCCCCGCCTCCCCGGCTCCCCAAGCCACCGGCCCCCCCCACACCTGGAGGCGACGAGAGCCACCAACGCAGGCACCCCGCGTGCCTGCAGGAGCGAGCGTGCGTTATCTAGGCTGTCGGATACGATTTCGTGGATGGTGTTGAGCACGGCCACCACGGTGTCCTCCTCCAGGTGGGCCCCCGGTCGTGGCGGAGACTGTGCATTGCGCAAGTTCCGCACCAGCTCGGCCATGGCGTAGCTCCCTGAGGAGCAGGGCTAGGTTTCAGGACACACCTCCACCCCACCCCTCCAGGAAGGAGCAGGGATCCCCAGAGGGCGAGGGGCAATAAGCTTCAGGGACAAGGCCAAGAGGACTGGAGCTACCCAAGTTGGGGTGCAGCCCAAGAGACAGGGGCGGGCTCTGGACTCCCAAACCACTCATCCTCCAACCCCCACTGATGGGACCCCAGAGCTGCAGGCACAGTTCGGTGGTGCTCAGGCGTGGCTTTGCAGGCGTCCTCACCGATGAGGTCTTTGTTGCGCCGGTCCAGGGAGAGGTTGCGCAGGGCGATGGCAACAGCGCGTACCACCTTGTCGGTCTCAGACTGCAGCAGTTCCACCAGCACTGGCAGCCCGCGCTCCTTGCGCACTGTGGCGCGGATGTATGTGGCCCACTGCGGTGGCAGGGAGAGAGCTGCTTGGCTGTACGTGCCAGGCACTCTCCCACCTCCTGACCCTGCTGCTCTCTCCAGACGGAACTTCCTGCTCCCACACCGACAAAGCCCTGCCCAACAGCTCCAGGGCACCTCCACAGAGGCTTTCCCACCATCCAGGGTGCACTCACTGCCTGCAGCCCATGTACCCTGAAACTCTTGGATCTTGGGGTGGTGGTATGGCCCCCTCCATTCCCTGCCAGCCCAAGAAGGAGCTGCACCAGTGAGGTGTCTGTGATTCCCTTTCTCAGGACTTGCCCTCCCTGCCAAACCTGGGCCCTCACCATCCAGTTGCCGGCACTGAGGTTCTGCAGGGCACCAGCGGCAGCCTCCAGGGTGTTGAAGTTCCGGCTCTCCGTGAGGAGGGAGAGGTAGAGACGTACCACCTCGGGCTGGTACAGCAGCTCAAAGCCTGGGTGCAGGGCAACCACCACCCATGGTCACCCAAAATCTGCTCTCATCCATCATACCCCTCCCACCTCCCGCTTCAGAGCTTCCCATGGCTGGGGTGAGCTGGGGCCAGGGATGGGTGTGGAGGAGTCATGTAATGTTTATTATCAACATAGTCACCCAAAGGGGAAAGTGTTCCCATTTCATAGAGGAGCAAACTGAGGCTGTCAATTGGACCTGCCTGCTAGCAGTAACGTCCAGGAGGCCTGGGGTGGGGAGGAAGGCCTCAACCAGGTATGCTGCCCTAGCAACAAAACCCGCATTTGCCGGTTTGTCCATGAAGCTGTACAGCTGGGCCACGCCCCTAACAGGGCACACCCTCCCTGGCAACAAGGCCAGCATTGGCCAGTAACGGAGAGTTGTGTAACCAAGGCCACGCCCCTAACAGGACCTGCCTTCACAGGAAACTGAAGCTGTGCAGAGACACGCCCCTAGCAACAGGCCCCACCCTCCCCCACTGACAATAGAACCCACCCTCTGTAAGTCAACTGATGCAGTGCAACCAGGGCAGCTGCCCTAGCAACAGGAGGCACTCTCCCTGGCAACCACTCCAGGTTCCCCAGCAATGGAGGCGTCATCCTGCTGCTCTGCCCAGTGCTCCAGAAATGAGGGGTCAAGAGCATTTCAAGCTTGCCTGTCCCCAAATTGGAGCTTCAGCCTGGCTTGGGATACTACTCACTCTCCTGTGACTAACGTCCAGCGACGTTTCATCACCCTCTCCCCAGTCCTCATGCCTCACGCTCCCGCTTGGCTTTCTGTTCCTACACACTCCAAGCACATTCCCCGCTGGGGTATCTGCACTAGCCCTGTCTGCCTGTAATGCTTCCCCACAGCCCTCCTGCAGCTAGGGCCCTCTACTCTGGTGACATGCAGGCTCTTCCAACTGGCTAGACCCCACCAGAACAGACATCTTTCTCAGGCCAGATCCCAGCATACAACCCAACAGGCACTGGCCCTGCCCCTATAACTGTTGGGCATTCTCTGGCCCAGCCTCTGAACCTGGATGTGAGCATGCCCTCCTGGCTACCAGTCCCCTCAAATGAACCCATCTCTGTAGCTAACATAGAAGGCCCTGACTCCATTGGGGGCGTCTCTCCAAACCTTCCCACCTCTTAACACACCGTGAGACTGAGATAGCACCTGGCCTCTCTGTGCCTCTGCCTCCCTCTACTTTACCTGACATGACCCATGGCACTGCCTCCCATTCTAAACCCTCAGCAGGTGTCCCGGTGCTCAATCATCCTCCAGGAAATCCTGCACCTATGGGCCTCAGTTTCCCCATCTGTTTTCTAAGGCCCTCCAGGCCTGCCAGATGGCCCAAAGCTTCACTTCCAGGGAAGTCCTGCGCCCAGACATCCCCCAGTGGAGCTGGCTTCGTCTTAGCCCACTCACCTTTGGCAGCCTCAGTTCGCTTGGGCAGGTCCAGCGTGTCAAAGTTCCGGTCCATCTCACCATCTTTCTTTCCTAGAAAGGTGGCGGGAGGTGAGGCAGACCCCATAAGGTGCATGGGTGTGTCAGGAGGGGTGAATACAGTTCTCTCCTGCCGAGGCCCCAAAAAGCACCCCCACATCCGGGCCGGGGCACTAAGAGGCCCTGGGAATAGAGCACTGCTGTCAGAGTCTGGGCAGACAGTTTAGCCCAGGGGAAGGAGTTGGTGGCAGTGGGGCCTGGAGTGTCCCAGCCCTGCCCCTAGGACTCATCTCCCACCTGCTGCTGGGAACTGTCCCTCCCAGCAGTTCCACTGCAACTGCCAAGTGTGTAGACCGAGGAAGTCAGGAGCCCTGGCTGGATGGCAGGTGGATGTAAGCGGAGAAACCGAAGGCTGACCGGGACAGGACTCGCTTGGCTCACACAGTAAGGCAGAGCTGGGGAAACTCCCCCAGTCTGGGGTCAGGACATCTTCCAGGCTCTACGAGCCAGGAGAAACTCCACAGTAGCCCACCTAACATCTGTGCAGCCACCTCCATGACAGTGAGCCCTGTCTCAGCCACTCTCCCCGTCTCAGATGATGCTTCGACCCTTTCAGGAGGCAGCAGAGCAGAACCAGATGACCTGGGGTGCCTGCCTGCTCACCCTCACGGGACACTTGTATCCTCTGAGCCACATGCTGCCCCATTCTATCAGAGAAATAGACTCTGCTCCCAGGTGTCCCTAGACACAAGCACAGTGCGGGCCCTGCCCACTCACGAAAGTCTGAGGTTACAGAGTGAGACCCTTGGCCTCCCCACCTGCCACTGTCATAAAGATGTCTGTCCAAGTGACGAAGCCAGGGCTGGAGCAGGGCCCTGGGGCTGGAGTGTGCTCCCCTCTTCCCAGGTGCCCACTGCACATGCCAGGCCTGGAGAGCAGGATGAATAGGGACTCACCTTGGTGGAACCACTCCTCTGGACAGCCGGAGAAAGCAGAGGAGAGAGGAGAGGAGCCTGAGTGGGCAGCACCCGTCACCCCCCGTGCCCTCCCAGAGGCCTCAGGTTCCCACTGCACACCCTGGACCAAGCAGGCAGCATGTGGAACTTTATCCCACCACTTCTGGGCACTGAGCATCCACCAGTAAGACAAGAAAGGGGAGGCCTAGGTCAGCGGAACAGGCAGGCGGTACACAGGACCCCACAGCTGCTGGGGAGGTCCCGGGAACCTATACCCTGCCAGTGCAATGAAGGTGTGCAGGGCACCTCGCCCAGGAAAATGGGCTGCTGCACAGGCTGGTGGTGGTCTATAGCCGGCATCAGCCATGGCTCCTCCCCAACTTGTGGGCCAGTGAAATAAATTCTCCCCAGGAGTGGAGAGATTGAGTCTGGGCACTGATGGGACCACCTGGTTTCCACTGTGTCCTCCCTGGGGGTCCCACAGTGCAGATGGGGAAGGCTGGAGCTGGGCCCCATCAACCATGTGACCCAAGGCTGTGCAGCCTCCTCAGCTCCCTGCTTCCCTGCCTGCCTGCTGGGGGCTGACCAGGTGTCCTCTGGCCTCCATGATGGGCTGCTGTGGGTGTACAGAGAACCTTCAGCTAGGGTAGGAGTCGAGAGTGGTACCCCAGTCCACCCCACCCACCTTTGGCCTTCTTGCCACCAAAGCAGCTGGCATCATCCCGCCTTCGGCGCTGGGAGCCTACAGCACTGCCCAGGGGCCCAGGCTCAGCCTCCTGGTATCTGTCGGCCCCGGGCACCTCCTTGTGCACGTGGTAGGACAGATTCCGCATGATGCACACGCAGTTCTCCACCGACTGCAGGGAGAGGTGAGTGGCTGGGGCAGGGTACCCTCAGCACAGGGCCAGCCCTAAGGGAAGACTGGCCACAGCTGGTGTGCATTAAAGCATCGGGAGCAAAGGGACAGGGAGGCCTCAGTAGATGGGGGGGGTGGCAAAAGGGTGATAACTGCCAGTGCCAGGGAGGGTCCACAGGAGGAAGCCCCTGCCGCATGGACCACCTTCCACCTACAACACTGTGCCCACTTCAGTGTGGCCACTGCAAAGCAGGCTATGCCCAGGGCGCCGCCTTAGACCCTCACACTCATTCTCCTGTGCTGCCCCCACAGCTCTGGCCTCCCAGGACCTGCGTGATAGTCTCTCCCGCCCTTGGCATGAGGCTGTGACTGTCCCCGCCCACCTTATTGTCCGTGTCCTTCCGGCCCACCGCTGACTGCAGGGCATGCAGGAGCGCGTCCACCAGCCCTTCACACTCCCGGAGTCGCCGCCGGGCCTCGGCACCATCGGAACTTACATTCCTGTGTGACCGAGAGCAGGCCAGGTGACCCCTGGCCACCAGAAACTCCCCATCCCCGCCCTGACCTCAGGAGTTTGTCTTCATTTGCAAAATAGGCCCTGCTGCTGCCCTCTCAGTCTACTGGGAAAGGACCCCGAAGCCTGGAGCTCAGTGAAGGGGGAGAAGCTAACTGCCCCCAGACCTCAGGAGGGGGCCCTGGCAGACAGCTGTCTTGGTTGGGGACAGCTGGGCAGGGGAAGACAGGGCTTCCGGTCATCTGGGGATGACCTGGCAAGGGACAGGTAGACTCAGACCTGAACCTGTACAAGAGCAATTCTGGGTTCCTTACCACCCCAATGGCAGCTCTGGGCCCCACCTTGCCCCAAGGTAAAGAGCCTGAAGGGTTACAGGGGAACACCCTGACCGACAAGCAGGACTGTGGGGACCCAGGACACTGTGGGGTTGGCAGAGCCTCCCAGGGGTAAGAGGGGAAGGGCAGAGGTCACAGGTGGCTGGAATGAGCCTCCCAGGCAGATGAACAGGAAGGTCCCATCTCCCCCTCTGGCTGTCACATGATGGAAAGGTGGGTGGAAGCTGGGCAGGGCTAGGGTACCACAGAGACCCCTCCAGAGGGTGCCCCTGGGGAGACTGAGGCACCACTTGGGGGCGAGCACAGCCCCTCAGGCCCCACGTCTCATCCACAGGGCTTGTGCCACAGCTCTGAAGTTCCAAAGGTCCAGGCGGCTGGCCGCCATCTTCCATGCTATCTGGGACCATGAGGACGGGGCCTGGTGTGCATGTGGGCCTGGGTCTGCTCCACACCTCAGGCAGCCCGACGTGTTCTTGAAGACAGTTGTCCACTCAGCATCCCGTGGCTTGGAGTCCTCGTTGGGCTCACGCTCCCACCCTGAGTGAGGCACGATGACCTCGTGGGTCAGCGTCTGTAGGCCATGGTCAATGATGGCCATCTTCAGGGGCTCATAGGATGACAGGTTCCACAGTGTGCCTGTGGGGTGCGATCGGCCAAGTCCTGCTGACCACGTGCATTGCCTCCCACCTCCCCAGGTGGCCACGCTCAGGACCCGTCCCACTTTCCTCCTGTCCCAGCTCACACACAACAGGAGAAGTAACTAAAGCCGTGAGTGGTTCTGGGGGGCACACAGTACCGGCTTCCAGCCAGGAAGGAGCCCCAAAGGGGATGAAGTGCAGAAGAAGGCATGGCACTGCTGTTCCTTCCCACCCACTCCCTGCCACGTGGCAGGTGGCACAAACACTCTCAAGGCCACAGGGCCTCATGGAGACACGGTCAAGTGACCCCACCTGTCTCTAAGGTCCTACAAGGCGCAAGCTCCACCACTGTACTCTTGGGATGGGAACCAAGGAGGCGGGTCCCAGGGGAGTTTCTGTGGGGTCAGGAGGTGAGGGCATGCCTGGGGGGCCTAGTGTCAGCCTCCCCGCTATGGTAGAGACTGGGGAACGTGTCACAGTGTCTAGACCTGACGCCTGCCTCCCGGGGCAAGCGTCTCAGCAGCTGCACTCCTGCCAACCCGCACGCTTTCCCGGGCAGTCGCAGGCCAAGTGGCCTTGTTTCTCCCGGGCTGAACCCCGCACCCTTCGCTTCCCAGGGATGTGGGCACAGCCAGGTCCACTCACCAGTGACCAGTTCGCGGACCTCGTTGTCCCGGGCGGCCCGCAGCAGGCGCACCAGAGCAGGCACACCACCACAATCCCGGATGGCGGCTTTGTTGTCAGTGTCGCGGCCATAGGAGAGGTTGCGCAGTGCCCCACAGGCCCGGCGCCGCACCTCAGCCCGCGGGTGGTCCAGCAGTGCCACGAGCAGTGGCAGCCCCCGCAGCTGCCGTACACGCCGCTTGATTCCCTCGTTCTCAAAGCACAGGTGCTGCAGGTAGGCAGCCGCATTGGCCTTCACGGGGTCCACGGGGTGCCTCAGCATGGCCAGCACCTCAGGCAGCTCTGGGTCCCGCCAGCGTGGCTCCTTGCGGGCGCTATCCACCGAGGGTGAGCGCCGTACCAGCCGATCCAGGCTGCCCAGGCTGCCCCGTTCAGGCTGGGCCAGGGGCGCTGTCACTGCTGAGAACGCAGGCCGCTCACCCAGCAGTTCACTGCCATCATCTGCAGCATCCTCGTAGGCCCTGCACAGGCGAGTGGGGCACATGGGACATCGTCACAGCAGCCACCAGCCCTGCCTCTGAGCTGCCCCATCACACCTTCTTCAGGACTGCAAACTCACCCAGCAGGGCTGGGCTGGGAGCACAGTATCTCAGCCCCAAACATGGCTGGGGCATGGAGAGTCATGCACCAGCCCAGTGAGAACTAATTTAGAGCCAAATGCCAAACCCCAGCCAGCAGCTATCAGTCCCCTGGCAACCCTCCCAGGACAGCAAGCTCGCTTACTGCTGTCACCAGGCGGTGTTCCCCGATCCCGAGCAAAACATGTCTCTGTACAACATCTGCTATGGCTGCTGGAGAGCCCACCTCCCGTCCACGAAACCACCCATCTTCCATGAAGCCCGTCTCTGCCTGTGCCAGGATGCAGGGGGAGTAAATGACCCTCTCCGCATGAAGCCATCCCAGTAGGACCACCGAGGAGCATTCATCCGGCCACCAGACCCTTTGGGCACAAGATCTCCATAGCTCTCAGTAGCCCTGTGGGTTGCTGTCATCAAACCCACTGGCCCGAGGCGAGGAGTGGCCAGGTGACTTGGCCAAGCTCACAGAGCAAAATCCAGACTTGGGTTGTGGTCATGTCTCCACTCCAGAGAAACAGAAACTGAGGGCAGTGGAGACAGAACCAGGGTCTGTGACAGGAAGGGCCAGGGCGGGCCAGGGCTCTGGGTTCTGGTTATCCAGGGTATGGCTGCAGCAAGGCCAGTGGCCGGCACTCTTCCCAGCTTTTCTTGGGCCCTGGGCCTGCAGGACGGTGCCCAGCCGAACTCCTACCACCCCAGGGCCTACCTTTCTTCTGTCTCTGACAAAAGCCAAGGACAACTCAAACTAACATGCATGACTAACTCAACTGCAGCCACTTGACAAGTGGAGCACCCTGTAGCTGGGGGATGGAGGGTGGACTTCCCAGAGGAGGCAGCCACAGGGGACAGGGTGCAGCTCACCTGGTGTGAAGGCCCCGCCCACACTCAGGCCTCCTCCTCGTGGCTGTGCCATAGTCAGGCTCTAGCTCAGGGCCGCCCTCATCATCAGCGGCCAGGCTGCGCGTGTCATCCTCCAAGCCATATGGCTCTGCCTGGAAGCGCTCGGGCAGGGAGCGGCCACCTGGTGGCCCAGACTCAGGACCCACAGGGAAGGCCTCCCGGTGGCCAGGCAGTGTGAAGCAGCCATCGCCAGGGCCTGGGCCAAGCGGGCCAGCACGTGGGGGCCGCATGCCCAGCCCTCGGGACAGGCTGCCATAGCTGGGGCCGTCCCGGGGCTCGGGGCCTTCGGGAAAGCTGCCCCCACTGGTGAGGTAGGCTCGAGAAAGTGTGGCCACTGGGCCACCACCACGCAGCAGGAAATGCCGGTCCAGGGCACCATCGGCAAAAGGGCCTAGTGGGGGGCCGCCATCCAGCAGGGGGAGTCCGTCCGGGCCCAGGGGCACCTGGCGGACCGTCCGAGTGGTCACCGTCTTGACAGTCTTGGTGACCTGGTGGATGGACAGGCAGATGGGTGGAAAGTGCCCTGGTGGGGCCTGGCTCGCCACAATTTCCCACTCGAGCAATGAGAGGCCCCAGGTGGCAAGCTTCCATGTCCACTCTGCAGGCAGGACAGCTGCTGTGGCCTGGCCTGCTCTCCCACCCACCACCTGGGCCAGGCCATACCTTGGTCTCGGTGCGCCGGGTCGTGCCATCTTCGGATGTGACAACAGACACATGGGATGTGGGTGTGCCAGGATCCTCCTCCACCGTCACTGTCTCCTCCAGCACATCAGGCGCCTCTGGCATCGTGGCCAGTGAGGCCTGGCTGCCTGGGCTCTGCTCCTGGGGTGAGGAGGGGCACTGGTGGGCAGGCCTGCTGCTCAGTTGTCCCTGCAGTGCAGGTGCCCATACACAGCAGCTATGCCTCGGCTCGTGCCAGCCAGCACACCAGGGTGCCTTCCTCCTGGTCCTGAACCCACCCATCCCAGGGCCTGTCCTGGCCCAAGCTGGCAAGGACAGCAACAAGTTCTTGCCCTCTGAACATCGAGGTGCCAAGCCTGCCCTAGCACCCCATCCTGGGGGGACTCTGAGGCTGGCCCCCATCCCATGCTTCCTCAGGCTGAGTTGGCAGATAAGGCCACAGACCCTAGGAGTGAAGTCATCCCCCTCACCACAAGTCGCAAGGCCCAGCTACCACAGGTTCCTCCAGGCCCCAGAAGGCACCAGTGAGACCTACCTGCAGGATGCCTCCCGGATGTCACCCACCACCCCTAGAGCTGGGACCTCACGGTGTCCTAGGGCCTCCTCCCTCACTTGCCCCAGAAACCTTGAGAATAGAAGCCTTGTGGGGGCTAAGGTTCCTGCCACCGAGGCCAGCCAGATACCATCAAGGGACAGAAATACCCAGCTCCCAGAACACCCATGCACCTGGAACACTAATATATCCTTACTCCTTCCAGCCCAAACATTCCTGAGTGTTGCAGAGGCATAGCCTGGCCCTACCTTGGCCCAGTGGCTGCCGCCCCCAGTAACTGAGACTCTGGGCATCGGATGAGACCAGACAGTCGATTTGAGCCTATGGGTCCCCTTGCCACCATCATGTGTGGGGTGATGACACTGGAATTCTAGGCAAGACAGCTCTGGACTGAGACTCTTCAACCCGCAGGCTGGACTTGACAGTGGGGAAACTGAGGCTCAGAGAGACTAGGCTGGCCCACATCAGAGCCAGGCCCAACCCCTACCGCACTGAGTGGCTCTGAGGACCTGAGACCCACAGCCTGCCTTGGCCTCTGCCTGCACAGGTGCCTGGCCCTAGGGCCACACGGCACCAACATCCGGGGTTTGGCATCCAGCCAGGATGGAAACCCAAGCCCTGGTGGGTGGGTGAGGGGGAGCACATTCCCAGGCAGCTAGGGCAGGGTCAGCAGGAGGACAGGCCCCACTCTGTGGCCTAGGCCCCTGGACCCTGCACAATGGGTCCCTTGCCTGGGCCCCCTGGGGCCTGCACAGACACCAAGCTCTGCCAAGCTCCAGAGGCAGACTCTGCCCATCCTTGGGCCTGGGAAGTAAGCCAGGCAACATGCTCAGGGCTGCCCTCAGGACCTGCCTGCAAAAGCCCATGGGCTGGAAAGCCTCCCCAGGTCAGGGTCCTATCCTGGGAGAATACTTGACCCCTGAATGTATGCAGTGCAGGTGTCCAGGAAGGGGCCTGTACCAACACATTAGGACAGGTGTACCCCTCAGGTTCACTGACAGAATAAAGAGGTGGCCATAGAAGGCACTTGCCCCTCTCCCAGGGGCAGGACCTTGGGAGGATGATACGTAACTTTACAGATGGGGAAACTGAGACCTGGCAGGGGGAGAGGATTTACCTAGAACTTCACAGTGCAAATGGGATTTCAGGCACCCCCAGATAAGGCAATCTGGCAAGGAAGCCTTTGGGCCTGATCTCGCCCTCAGTCTTGAGATGTAGGTGGAATGCCTCCTGGGGACCTGGCTAGGAAGAGGGGACCTCTTTCCCCTGGGAAAAAGAAATAGATGAGGCCCAGAGTGGGGACAACTGGCACGCTGCCAGGCAAGGCAGGTTGGGCTCTTTCCAAAGGCACTGGGGAGCTGGGACTGCTCTGGAGCAGAAGGCTTGTGTGGCCCATCACTACTGGGGCTGAGCTGCCCCGTCTATATCTGGGAAATGTGCGTTAGGCCCTGAGCTTTCTCTGCTGGGCCCTGTGGGGACTCGTCAGAGTCTAAGCAGGGGGCCAGGCACTGAGCGGCTGCAGTTCTGACGATGGGGTGAGGAGGGTATGAAGCAAGACTAAGGGAACGTTACACAGGATATTCTGTCAGAGTGATATGGCCCCTCATATATGCATATATTTACATATATTAAAGACTGAGAGAGGAGCCCCCTACTTCCTAGCTAGGTGCAGGGGGAAGGGGGAGAAGAAGGGAGGATATCTCAGGACCTCGATGCCACTCTGAGGCCCAGCTTATCCCTCCCACCATGGTTATGTAAGGGTCTGACAGTGCAGAGCTGGGGTGGTCTAGGAGAGCCAGGCCCCCTCAGCAAGACCTGCAACCCTGCAGGATCACCCGCCAGCCCCAGCCTAGCAGCACGGCAGCAGGATCCCAAGGCCCCAAGAGTCCCTGATGGCAAATGACCTCAGGGAGCTAAAAACAAGTGATGACTTCACCCGGGTGGCGGGAGCATGAGTCAGCCAGTGATCACAGGAAAGCCCGGCCCCCGAGACACAGGACTGGGCACGCACATGCATGTACGCGACCCCTTCAACAGAGACACATGCATGTACACGACCCCTCCGACAGAGACACATGCATGTACACACATGGCTGGGCACACACATGCATGTACGTGACCCCTCCGACAGAGACACATGCATGTACACGACCCCTCCGACAGAGACACATGCACGTACACACATGGCTGGGCACACACAGGCATGTACGTGACCCCTCCGACAGAGACACATGCATGTACACACATGGCTGGGCACACACACATGCATGTACGTGACCCCTCCGACAGAGACACATGCATGTACACACATGGCTGGGCACACACACATGCATGTACGTGACCCCTCCGACAGAGACACATGCATGTACACACATGGCTGGGCACACACACATGCATGTACGCGACCCCCTCCGACAGAGACACATACATGTACGCACATGTGTGAGTACCCAGCCCCGCAGAGGCCGAGCACATCAACCTGTGTACTCTAATAGCACCCCACGGGCACGGTGCCCACTGTTTCCAGAGGCACACTCGTGAGCACACATCCTCCCACCCTCCACCTGTGTATCCAGACCTTTATCCACACAGGGCCTCACAAACTCTCAACACACAGGGACAGGGGCCACCAACTCCACTGATCACCTCCCCAGCATCCACTCTGGGAGTCTCAGAGCTCACTGCCAGATGGGGAAACTGGGGTGTAGAGTAGTTAGGCCCATAGCTATCTGGCAGCTCAAGTCTCTGTAACATCTTTAGGGTGGGGCTGTGGAATGGGTGGGCTGACTCTCAACAGAGGAGGTGGCTGCAGTCCCTGGATCCCCATCTGGCCCCAGTGTCCATGTCTGACATGCACCTGCCCAGGCTGGCCCACGCTCAGGGACCCTGGCCCCACAGCCCCACAGCCCCACACAGCCTCTGCCTCAGACCCAACTCTGGGCTGTTCCCGTCTGCACCCTAGATATGGGCTGCATCCTGGACACCCTACCTCACATCCAACCCCACAGGCTGCATCCTATCAGTCATCTCTCATACCCCCTAACCAGCTGGGGCCCCATCCTTGTCCCTGCCCAGCCTCCCAGCACTCATCCCTCCCTTGGCTCTTCAATCTCTGGTGCACCAGGTCTGGGGCCCCCAGGACTAGCCCGAAAACGGCCTGGGGTTTCCCTTGGGCTGTGGGAGGGGCCAGAGTGACCAGGAAGGTAGACCTCCTATCCCTGCTCACAAGAGCATCCTGGGAGCACAGCGCTGAGCCAAGCATAGGGGCTCTACACGCCATCATGCACCTGGAGCTCAGCTTCTTCACAAGGAGGTGGGAAGGACGGAAGGGGCTGGGGCCTGGGACATGCTGGGTAGCACCAGTCACACCTTTGTGGCAAAATGCAAGGAACACAGGGAGCAGAAAAGCAAGATCAGACCAACACACAGAGGGGCTGCTGGAGGTCAGGGGACAGGGTCGGGGTCCCATAGCACTTATCCATCCGAACTGCCAGACCACAGATGCAAAACCACACTCTGTGTCCTGAAGAACAGACTGCAGGGGCAGGAACCTCCCCTATCCAAGGCCTGGCTAGCACATACACCGGGAATGAGTTATGGTGGGATTGCATACCTGGATCCCACACCTGAGGGCCAGGCTCCCAGAGGGCACGAGGTGGCTGCTGCCAGATGGATGAATGAATGACGCTTCTCCATCCCCAGCATGGCCCTCCCAGGTAGAGTCCAGGACAAGCCAGGCTGGCATCTCCCACCAGGTAGCAAGCCCTTGGCCACCACAAAACACCCTCTCCCTTGGTACCACAGCCTCTGACCAGTCTCCAGGACCTGGAACTCGACCCCCCCCACAGTAATGCACCTGCCAGGGCGTAGCGCCAGGCAGAGGAGCCAAAAAGCCAAGCTGGGGGAGCAAACTTGGGGTTGGAGAGCAGGGCTGTCATCCACCTTAGCTTCCCCAAGCTTAGCTCAGGGTCATAAGACACAGTGTGACCATGAATTTCCTAAAAACTGGTCCCTCCATCTCTGAAAGCCAGACCCTGGGGGCCACACCAGGGCTGTATGACAGGCAGGGGCCTGGCTGCCCAGGTGGATAGGTGTGTGGGAAACCTGCCTACTACCACAGATGATCCTGGCTGGTCTTTTCTCTGCTCAGCCTCAGTTTCCCTGCCTGTTACCAAACCCACACTGCTCTGAGCAGGAGGCAGATTGCCTATGCCCCCCCATCACTTCAAAGCTGAGAGGGGGAGGACCCCGGTTTTCCCTGGAGATCCCCTCCAGCATCAATAGGTGGGCAGGGCCTGTCTCCACCCCTCCCATCACGTGCGCCTTGGAGGCAGAGAGAACTTCCATTAAAGCTCCGGAAGCTCCTTTGCAGGTCCTGGGAGTCAGAGCCCGCGTAGGGGGTGTGGAGGGGAGAATAGGAAGCCCCTCAGGGACCAGAAGGCCTACCCGGGCTTCCTTCTCTAGACTCAGCCTCCCTCCTGCATAGACAGAAGCTGCCCAGGAAGGTCCTGGCCCCCCACCCGGGTCCCCAGGCACCTGTCCTGGGCACTAGCCGAGAAGCGCCCACCGGCTCCCGGCCAGCTCCAAGCGAAGGGTCAAACTGCCAGCGGTCCCGGCCCCCAGCCCCTGGGGACAGGCTCCAGAGACTCCGCGGCCCCTCCCGCACACCCGGGGACACCGCGCTCACACCGCCACCCGCCCGGCCCTGGCCCCCCAGCCTGACGCAGCCCAGCCAGGAGCGCCAGACAATAGCCGCCTCAGGCCGGCGGCTCCGCGAAACAAAAGCGGGTCTTGCCGGGCAGGCCGGCGCCCCGCCCTCCGCCTCTGACCCCGGGTCAGGGTCCCCCCAAGCCAACTTCCCTCCAACCTGTCTGAGTTCGGCCGGCATCGGGCCGGAGCTCTGGGGGCGCTGGCCAGCAGCGGGGTGCAGCGGCGGCTAGACCGGGCTCGGCTCGGCTCCGGCGCCTCGGCCGCTCGGGCTCAGGCTCGGCGGACTCGCTCCCTACGGGGGCGGATCTGGCGGCGGTCACGGCGAGCAGCCAATCGGGCGGGGCCGCGCCCAGGTGGGGCGTGGCAGGGGCGGGTAGGGCGTGGTGAGGTCCCGCCCCCCAGAGGGGCAGGTCCGGGCCCTCTAGCCCCTGGTCGCCCCCTGTCCCCCGACCCCCGTGGCCCCGCCCGCGGGCCTGGGCTTCTGATCCCTCCCCCTCCCTGCGGCAGGGGTGTCATTTTCCCGCCGAATGACTGGCCAAGTCCTTCCCAGGCCTCGGTTGGTGAGCACACTTTACTCCGCCTGCAGAAGGGGAAACAGTTCTGGTAGGGCAGATGTCTATGCTGCGATAGACAGAGTGCAGGGCCTCCCTCATGGGCACAAACCTGGCTGACTCAGTTTTACCTGCCATGAAATGGGGGCCGATGGGACAGCAGTCACAGTGCTGCAAGATCCCTCCAGTCTCTCAGATCCCCCCTCATGCTTCTGCCCAGCCGCCACTTGGAATGGGCCTGGGAAGAACTGTCCCCACAGAGCTCAGAGGGGACCCCTACTTTGTGTCTTGGGTTTTCCCTATTGAGGCACAGAAGCCCCGAGTGCACCCCCATTCCTTTCCCAGGCAGGCCTCGATGTGGGCCACACCCTAGGGAATCTGGCTCTGCTGCTGTGAAAACAGGGGAGGGGAGGGGTGGGGCTGGGGCTATCTTCTCCTCAAACTGCACCAAGGCCAAGCCAATGGCTCCAGTATCACAAACCGGAAAACGGGTTCTGAGATGGAATGAGCTGGTACCAGCCCAGGGAAGCTCAGTGGGTCTGGCAGAGAAAGGGCTCAGACCCGGGTCTCCCACGGGCTTCTCTGCAGACCCTTCAGTGGTCCCCCTCAGGGACCACTCCCTGCTGCCCTGAGTGCTGTATGGAAACTACTTGGCTAGCATGCTCAAGATTCTAGATGCTCACCATGTGCCCTTGAGAGCATCAGTTCCCCCACCTGCAGGGGGGTGAGCTACCCTACCACTGGCCAAACTCGAACCCCTGCATCTTCTATCTAGGGCAGGCCTGCCTGGAGCCCCCGTAGCAGAGCCCAGAGGACCAGACACTGCACCAGAAACATGCCCACATCTTATCTTTAAGCTGGCTCCATTTCAACTGCACCAGCTGCTGGTACCCCAGTCACCTACCTACCTCAGATGAGCCCAAGGGAAGTTCCCTGATGGAACCCCACCCCACTGGGTGGGCGTCAGCCCTGCTTCAGCTGGCTGTCTAGAGGAGGGGCCCCTTCCTGCTGGAGGATGAAGGGCAGTAGCCAGGACCAGGCAGCAGCACTCCCCCTTGCCTGGCTTCCCAGCTTCAGCCCCCAGCTACCTGTCTTGCCATTGCCCTGGCTTAAGCAGGGGCTCTGACCCTGTTGCTCAGCAGGTAAATCGCTAGGCACTTTCTACAGAGATCAATCTGGGAACCTGGCCAGCCCAATGTGGCCCTGCCTCCCCTATACCATCAGCCCAGACAGTTGAGCTGCAGCCCTGGTAACACATGCTCTCTTCAATCCCAGCCTGAGAAAATCAAGGGCAGGGGTGGAAGGTGGGGCATTAGGGGCAGGGGTGGTAGGTAGAGGGGCAGTGGCATGAGGTCTTGAAGTCTTTTGCTTGAGGAGGTCAGGGTAGCTCCAGGCTGTGGGAACATCTTCCCTCCAGGATGCTTCGGATCCTCCCACACTGGCTGTCTGAGGGCTGTTCCGGTCTGGGAGGGCTGGACCAAGCACACTGGCGCCTGAGAGGCAGCCTCTGGGTCACTGGCTTCCACTGTCCCCATGTGGCCCGGCTGGGCCCAGCGTTCTGCTTCCCCAAACTTGAAGACTCAGGGAATAGTCACCAACCCCAGGTCCCTTGGCCTAATAAGGGATGATGGTTATGAGCCCCATGTGCCCAGCCAGGTGAGAAGAGCCCATGGGGCCGCCTCAGCAGAGGCCAGCATTTGCTCCCTTTCTCTCTAGACAAGAAGGGCCAGGCTGACCCAAGGCCCAGCTGGGTGGTGTGTGCCATAGAGTCAGAGCCCAGCAGGACTAAAGAAGGGCAGGTGGGGGTGCAGGTGCTGGGAGTGTGCTGGGGGAAGGTCTGGCTGCCAGGTTTAGCAGGGCAGGGAGCTGAGCCAGGGAGACGGAACTCTGCTGGGAGAGCCCTCTAGGGTCACTATGTGAAGAACCCAGAAGTCACAGCACGAGGAAACTGCCCCAGCTTCTAAGCTGGGTGGTGAGGAGGGGCCCCTTTCCCTGTGGCTGCTGGGGCAGCCCCACCCTGACTCCCCACTGCGCGAGGCTTCAGTCAGTAACAAGAACTGACAATCACACCACATCCCAGGTCTCCTTGCATGTCCTTGTCGGGCCTCCCCACCCCAAGCCAGTGGCTCTTGCTGTTCTATCTACAGGTTAGAGCACCGGGGTGCTGAGAGTGGGGTGTCCCAATGGTCTAACTGCTCACTGAGCACCCCAACTTTAGAGTTCTTAGAGCCTGGCCATGAAACACAGAGGGCTCTATACCTCCTGGAGCTGAGCAGGGGCCTGAGCCCAGTCTGAGGATAATGGCCAGCAGAGAAAATCAGGCTCCCAGGTCAGCCTCCAGGTTTCAGCAGAGCTCTGGGCCTTGCTACAGCCTCCTCCTGAGGCTGACCCACCAGTGCGTGCAGTGAACACCGTGGCAGGGTTAGGCATGGTGCAGGCAAACCCCTCTGTGTCTGTAGGCAGACCAATGAGCTGCCCAGAACAGACCCCCTATCCAGCTGCCTGGGCCTGAGGGCTCAGTGGAGGGTGCTGTTCTGAGTGTCAGGCAGTGTCCTGCCTACTCTTCACACGATGCTTAGCATACCCAAGTGGGACTTTCAGCCCGCCATGGGATCTCATTTTCATTTCCTCCCCAAGCGTCCTAGCAAATCTTGCAATAAGCAACTGCACGCTGGTTTGTGGTCCGCCAGGACCCCCTAATTGTTTTCCCACTTGGCAATTTTCACCCTTCCCAAGTCACTAGGCTATTACCTGGAGGACCAGCTGTTGCCAGGCCATTGGCAGGGGCTGCCCACCGCCCACGCCACCACTGACCATGCCAGGCTGCTGGGCACGCTCCAGCTGCAGGGCAACATGGCGCCGTTCCTGCTCCAGCGCCCGTGTCAGCCTCTCGAAGCGGGCCTCCTGCTCCTTCACCGAGGCCAGGATGCTGGCGGCCGAGTGCACATTGCAGTCCTCCATGACCAGGGCGCCCGCCAGCTGCAGGCAAAGCAGAGCAAGCTCAGTGGGGTGGGGCAGCAGCCTGGCAAGGCCATCATGGGCCCCTGCCCACCCCACTCAGACCATACAGCTCACTCCCAGACCAGAGCATCCAGCCCTCTAGAGGGAAGTGCATTGATTAAATTCTAAATTAAAAGCCATTAATCCGAGGCTGGACGGAAGCAGCCAGCTCACTTCCCATGGGTCATGGGACTCTGACCTGGCTCCTCTGCTTCCTGCCAGGCCTAGCAGAACCATGGGCCATGGGAGGCTTGGAGCCCGCTGGGAAGGGCAGAGAGAGCTGGTATGATGAGAGCTCCCTACCTCTCAGGCCCTCTACTGCCCACAGCACATGCCAGCTCACCCTTTATTTCACAGGGCCACACCACTCCTGTCTCACAGAGGCCCAGAAAGGGTGGGGGACCATCTGCAGCCACACAGCTGTTATGGCACAGCCAGTGTGCCCAGGAAGCAGGGATTGAGAAGCTGCAGGTGCCCAGGACCCCGAGGCAGGCGCAAGGTGACCACAGCCTCAGAGCTACCGGCAACACTGGACCACCAGTCCAGCCTCCACTCACAGCCACACCGGCCAGGAACAAGGGTGGTGCCTGCTACACATGACAGAGTAAAAACTAAGGACAAGCCTGGCTGAGGTTCTGGCTGAGACTACACGAAGTTAGAGACCCTGAGCCTGGAAGTGGCTGTGTGTGTGACACTTCATGCAGAAGAGGGAGCCCAGGTGTCTGAGGCCAGGCACAGGGTGGGATCAGGACTGCTTGGCCCAGCCAAATACTGCCCCTCAAGGCCTCAGGGCCCCAGGAGCAGGCGGGGGCTGCAAGGGCTTGGCAGCTGCAGCAACAAACCAGCACTTTCCCTCCCGGCTTGCTCCCTGGCTGCCCAGCATGTTTGTTTTTCATGGGTAAAAAAGAAGCAGGACAAGTATTCGGAGCTCAGACCCAGGCTCAAGGCAGTGGGCAGGGCATGGCCACGAGGCCACACTGCCCAGAGCGCAGTGAGCATGGCCCAGTGCCCAGGCAGATCCTGCCAGCCCACTGAGGCTGGCTCCGCTGCGTGCCTTGCCCCTGCACCAATATAGGGCCCTGCATGGGGAGGACATGCACTGCGGGTGACATCCTCAGAGAGTCAGCACCGCTGCTTACTGGTCTGGATGGAGCCAGCTTCAAGGACAGAGACCCCAAGAAGAAGAGCAGCACTGGGCTCAGCTGTGCCAGTAGCGGCTGGACCCGTGACATGGTGCAGGGACATGGGTGCACCTCATAGGTGAAGAGACACTGTGGAGCCCCAAGCCACCAACAAGATAGGGAAATAGGCCCAGCGAGGGTGAGAGACCAGTGCAGGCCCCCAGCTGCTCTCCATTTCCCCAGCACCTGTCCCACAAAGGAAAACTGTCAACACGACCTTTCAAGGAAGCCAGCATGAGTGGAGGAGCTGTTTTAAGCCAGCCACAGAATGGAAGAATGCGGGGAGAGCTGGGGGATGCCACCTGGGACTGAGGTGCAGACT